GTGGTTTGGGCTTTGCTTCTGTGAAGACTGACAGCCTAGGAAACCCTGTGGGCAGTTCCACTCTGTCCTCTAGGGGCGCTGTGAGTTGGAATTGACTCGACAGTAATGGATTTTTTAATGGGTCACCGTAGGACCAGAGAGGCACACTGACGAAGACTGCTACCATACATCTTCTTGGCATTTATTTGATTTCAGAAGACCTGAGACCTTAAGGTGTTTTTTGTAAGGTTGCTCAAGGAACAAATGAAAACTGTGCACCCTGACAGCCAAACACTGGTGACGCTGGGTGCCCCTGAGCTGATTTTGGATTCACAGTGACCCATGGGACAGGGTAGAACAGCCCCAGAGGGTCTCCTAGGTGACATCTTCATGGGAACAGACGTCCACATCTTTCTTCCATGGAGGCTCTGGGTGGATCTGAGCCGCTGATTTCCAGTTAGTAGCTGATGACTTAACCAGTGAGCCACCAGGGCTTTTGTAGCCTACACTCAGATGCTTTTGAAGTACAGTTTCCTCGTAGCAGAATCCCTACTGCTGGCCAGTCCCGCCCTCACAGAACACACAGATGCGAGGTGTCAAGACGGATTCTGAAACACTGGTTTGATTTGGGACCACTGGCTTCGTCAGTAATGGTTTTCAACAGAAAGGCTGTACATTTGGGTTTGTCTCTTGAAAATGAGAAACATGTATGAAGGCCTGGACATTTTTTATATTTAAAGTATTATATGGAACAAAGAACTGTGTAAATAAAATTGTATTTTGTATTTGTCCTGATACTACTCTAAGTTTAAAGAAGACCATGAGTAGTGCTTAATAACTGTTACACGGGTTTCTGCTGATAGGAACTATGACTGGGAACCTGTTCTATTCATCCCACCTCGTGCACTGTTTACTGAAACCCTAAGTACTACCCAGTTTCTGGTAGGTATTCGGTGCGTGTGGGACCGTGCGTAATAACGTGACTGAAAATAATAAAATGCTGGAAACAATAAAAATGGAAGCCAATAGGGAATGAGTGATTTAAAGTATACTGCAATTTAAAAGAAAAGATTTCATGATGGAAAGTCAACAAAAGTAATGACAAGAAAAAAATATCAAAGAAATAGAAGTGGGCAACACAGCACTTCATCAATAAGACATAAGGGAACATTTCTCTTTCTCTTTCTCTTTCTCCGAAGCCTGAGGCAGTAGCGTATTGTCTTCACTCTCAGTTCCTTTAATCAGGTAACGTTTGTTTGAGGACAGCACATAACCTTCTGTTGATGTTGTTGTTCAGTGCTGTTGAGGCGGCTCAACTCACAGCAACCCCACGTACAACAGAAACGTTGCCTGGCCCTGTGCCCGCCTCACCGTCCTTGCTGTGGCTGAGCCCATCATTACAAACGCTGTGTCAGTCCATCTCATGGAGGACCTTCCCCTTCACCAACCTTCTACTTTACCACACATGACAGCCTTCTCCAGGGAACAGTCCTTTCAGATACATGAGCAAAGTGGGTGAGATGAAGTCTAGCCATTCCCTCTTCTCAGGAGCATTCCGGCTGCTCTTCCTCCAGGACAGATTGGTCTACTCTCTCAGCAGTCCATGGTACTTTCAGTATTCTTCAATAACACAATTCAACAACATCAACTCTTCTTCGGTCTTCCTTAGTCACTGTCCAGCTTTCACATGCATAGGAGGTGATGGAAAACACCATGGCTTGGGTTAGGTGCACCTTAGTCTTCAAAGTGACATCTTTGCTCTTTAACACTAAAGAAGCCCCTTGCGGCAGATTTACCTGATGCGATACACTGTCTGATTTCTTGACTGCTGCCCCCATGGTTCCCATAAAGATTACAGCCTAGAAAACCCTATGGGGCAGTTCTACTCTGTCCTATAGGGTTACTATTAGTCATAACTGACTCAACTGCACACAACAACGAAGAAATTGAACCAAAAGTTAAAAATTAAAAACAAAACCCCTAAGCTGAGACTGTTGTTCACGTTTAAGTGTCAACAGTCTACGAGATTCAACGGATCTCAGTTGTAAATAGAGTTTATGGTTGTTATGTGCCATCGAGTCAGACCTGACTCATAGCGTTTCCTTAGGTTTCCGAGGCAGTATCACTATGAAAGTAGGTTGCCCAACCTTCCTTCCGAAGTGTGGCTGGTGGGTTTGAACCGCCAGCCTTCTGGTTAGCAGTCAGATGCCTTAGGTACTACACTACCAGAGCTCCCATACTGAAAACACAAACCCCAAAAGTAATTTAATTCGTTTATACTTTTACCAGTATAATCTCATTATCAAAATGAAACAAGAACAAGAAAGAAAAATTATACCATAGATCTTATTTATGAACACAGATACAAAAATCCTAAACAACATTCCAAACCAAAACCAATTGTGCACGTGTATTTTCAAACTATAACCAGGTAGAACTTGTCCCCAAAACAAAACCATTTCTCTTTATAAAATATATCAATGGAATCTACTGCATTAATAGATGAAAAGGAAACAACTCTACGATCAGCTCAATAATTGTAAAAAAAAAAGCAACTGATAAGGTTTAACATGAATTCACTAAAGATATAAGCAAAGTACATACATAAGCAAATATCCTTGACATGATAATAACCAAAAAACCAAACTCACCGCTTTCGAGAAGATACTTGTCGTCGAAACGATGTTGACTCATAGCCTGTACGTCTTGGGTTTCCAAGACAGTATCTCTAGGGAAGTAGATTGTCCAGCCTTCCTTCCGAGGAGTGGCTGGTGGGTTTGAACCACCAGGCATCTGGTTAGCAGTCAAATACCTTACACATTATGCCACCAGATAATAGAGGATGTATTTTAAGACAGTAAAAGAATACACGACTAAGGGCAAAAGGTTATAATCACCCCCTCCAAAGTCAGAAACAATTCAAGAAGGCCTGATAACATCAGTTCTATTTAGAGTTGTATTGGACATCCTCGTTAGTGCCACAAGGAGGAAGAAAAATGCATAATGATTGTTGCTGTTGTTGTTATGTGCCGTCGAGTCGTACCCGACTCATAGCGACCCCTCCTTGGGTTTCTGAAGCAGTATCACTACAGAAGTAGATTGCCCAACCTGCTTCCGAGGAGTGGCTGGAATAAACTAACAAAACTTGTTAGGATTCATTGACAGTGGAATTATTTCAATAGAAAAATCTGAGAGAATCTATATTGTTAGTTGTTGTCCAGTCAGTGATGCGTCATGGCGACCTTGTGTGTAACGGAACCAAACATTGCTCGGTCCTGCTTCATCTTGATGATGATGTTGGTACATTGGAGTCCATGGTGGGGGCCATGTGTGTGTCCATCCCACGGAGGGGGTCTCCCTCCTTTGTGTGGTTAACCATCTGTGCCACCATGGCAGCCACGTGTACATACCAAAAAACCAAAACCATCCATAGCTCTATATATCTATCTCCCTAAATTCCCCTACCATTCTCTTTCTTGTCATCTAATTATACACAAAGCCTCATGTGAAATACACTTTACAGATGTGGTAAGCAGTGAGTCCCACCAGTGAACACCCAGCTTGCAAACAACTTGTGCTGTGCTTCAGTGTTGTGTACGTCTGCTCCCACTTTGAAACAGCTGAACCAACCCCACTCACAACAAATTCTTCACCACAGTCACCTTCATTTGTTACACGTGCAGTTTTTAAATTCTTGAAAAGGCTTCGAGCCTTATCTTGAGCTAAAGTGAAGACTAAATAAGACTCGTTCGTATACATCTGATCTAGGAAAATTGGAAGTTGTGAAAAATGAAGTGAAGTGTGTAAAGATCAATATCCTAGGCATAAGTGAGCTGAAAGGAACTGGTATTGCCCATTTTGAATCAGAGAATCATATGATCTACTTTGCCAGGAATGACAAAATAAAGAGGAATGGCATGGTGTTCATTGTCGCAAAGAATGTTTCAAGGTCTATAGTGATAGGATAATATCCATATGCCTACAGGAAAGACCAG